ACACACCAGGCGACAAGGTATGGGTCTGGACCCCAATAGGTCGACGTGGACTTTCAAAAGAGCTATTACGACGATACTTCGGCCCATATCAAGTCACCCGACGATTAAGCGACACCAACGACGAAGTTATTCCCGACGGCGATTGCAGTTCCAGTCGCCGAAACCACTCACCCGAGATCCTGCATGTCATCCGGATGAAACCCTACTTGTCCAGCTAACTCTCGCTTGTCCTGTGGGTGCCGGTGCATATGCCTTTATAAGTAGAGTGCCTTGGCTGCTCATCGAGACGATGCCATTTTCGGAGGGAGGCAAATGTCACGTGCGTCCTGCGATAAAGACGAAGGCGACAGTGTATACGAGCATCTGCACGCTTTTACGCAGAACGCAACAACGAGAAAGACGAGGAACTCTCTTGCGCGCGCGGTAAATAAAAAGACCAACCCGCTGCTGCTTTCTCAGCTTCTTCAAATACGACCTCTGTTTTCACGTCGCGACACTATGGCCCACGCTGCACCCATCGCCTGGCTTCCCGTGGTGTGCGCACGAACGAGCCGATATGGCACTGCGCAAGAAACGAATATAGGCTACGAGAAAGGACGGCGTCCACTGAAAGACCCTCCGAAATGGGGTGCCTTGCTGAGCAATGGCAAGCCATCCTTCTAAGCGAGGCCCTCGAAGACCAGATGTGGGCTGTAAAGCAGGCCAGGGCCGTCGCCGAGGACCTCGGAAGATTTTCCTCGAACGATGTGTCCCTGGCAGCCTAGCCTTGGGCACAGCAACAACCGTTGGACAAATAAAGTTCGTTCAACTCAACTTCTCTACCCGAGACAAAAAATTTGCGCTTGACCAAATACTGCAGGTGATTGAATAGCTTGACACATTGCGTTTAGACTTCAGCAGAATAAAATATCGTTGTGCACTTCTAAGCTACCGTCACTTATGTTTGACTGCAATTCGCCAGTGCATATCATGAAATAAAGGTGTGCTCAGCAAAAGATCTAAACGTGGTTCTATACCCCCCGCCTGTTCCAAAGCGTATCATTCCAAGCAGTAAACTTTTGTGGTGTGTTCAAACTTCAGGACACATATTTTCACAAAATTGCAAGTTACCTTACCCTAACTGTTTTACAAACTATGTCCTAGATTTATTTTGAGTGTTGTGACACTGAAGTGTCACCACACTGAGCATTCAAACGCGTTTGAAGCAGTTAAAGCGTTCTTAAAAAGCATTTTGCCCACTGAGGCTCAAAACTCTAATGTAATATGCGACATAAAATTCGAGATTCAAAGTAATTAGTGTTTTCCTTGATCGACACAGCTGACAGGAATGTTTTTGATACTGATAGACTAGAAGCTGATCTATAGAAAAAATTGGTTTGGATGCGGAACAGGTAACCATAACGTTAACAGGCCTCTGTCATAAACCCGGCTGGCTTCGGCACAGGTGAAGTACACGGTATGATGGGAGCCTGCCTAGCCGGTACGAAGGTGTGATAAATTCGATAGGAAAAAATTTTGCAACGGCTACGCGGCAGCCTTGTTCACAAGTTCGCTGGAACATCTTGAAATGCTTTTGGAAACAACGTAAAAATCCGCCATGTCCAATTCGCCATCTTGTCAACTCTGATTGATTCACATGGCAGCTATGATTTCTCTGATTGGTTGAAAATACGACAGTTTTACATAATTTGACGGTCCAGTTCTACAGCGTACAGAATAGCATATAGACAAATACCAGTAATAACTCTATGACGTTTGACCACACCGTATGGCCATAAGTGAAAGTTGTGTCATGCCTTGTAAAGCTACAGACTATCTTTGTTCTCAGGGTCAAGCATTTGCATGCTGCAAGCAATCAAGGAAAGAAAGATCACAACTTGGGTCACGTGCAGTTGTCCGCCGCCGCCACTGGTGTGGGGCTCGAAGCCTGAGTTTCTAGGTGCCAGCCCAGTATTCTATCACTGAGATATGCCAGTGCTTGTGACTTGTTGGCAAACCTTGCACCAAAGACATAGTGGGACTCGAACCAGGGTGCGCCGGGTAACAGCCCAGTTAATAATAACCACTGAGCTACGTTGGTGCTTGCGACTTGTTGGCAAACTTGCCTTAGGCAGGCTTGATGTCGGAAAAGAAATCGCGCTAATACTTACTTATAAAGCGTTTTAAAACAGCGAAAGAACAACCAGTCGTCGCACAATGCGAATAGCGTTACGAGTGGGCTGTACAATGCTTCAACCCATTACAAAAGCTTATTCTTGTTTTCCAATGAACTGTGGTGCATACACACTTTAGCGAAATTCCTCATCGTCGTCTGCCACTGCATGAACAATTGGCACGAAATTCCTTGCAAGTGTTTAGCGCATACCACGCCTCTCAGAAGAATTATGAAAAATAGCATAACGAATGCCAGCCAACTACCCAAAAGTTTATTATTAATGCCCTAGTGGGTATCAAGCAAGTGTGCTTGCAGTATAGTTACCCAATGAGGGTAGCTTGATGGTCTAAGAACTGGTTAACCTACCTGTCCTTCTGCTAAATCTATTCTTGTCCCATGAAAGGCCCCTCTTCTAGCTTTTGCTGTGACTGCGCTGCGCCTTCCGCTCAGGCCTGGCGTTTATTTTTTAAATGTAACTGCTGCTTACTCAATGAGGGTATTGTTGGCAACGAAACACTCGAGTTTTTTAGTCAATGATGAGATTTCAACTAAGAATGACGCATGTTTTTGCGCTCCCGTCCTTACCCCGATTTTTGCTCCGCGATCTTGGCGCACAGCCCTTTCGAACGCCGCGAGGCTCTGCAATTTCACAGTTACTATTGAATTTAGCTCTGTTGGGGCTGTCCGAGAAATTATAAGACATACGTGAATTGTATCACAATATATACGCGGATGACATCACCCTCTGGGTTCCTGGAGGAGGTCGTGATGGTGAAGTCGAGCGAACGCTACAAGCGGAAGCAGACAAAGTTCAGGAGTACTTGCGAGGAACGGCCTCGAGTGCTCAGCAACCAAGTCCGATCTTTTAATCTACAAATCCAAAAGTAGAGGACGCAAGACTGCATGTGATGACGAAAGGGAATGCTTCAATATAAGCGTTCATTTAGCAGACGGTACACCAATACTACGCGTTGATAAAATCAGAATTTAGGGATTGCACCTGCAGGCAAACGGTCTTATGGTGAGACGGTACGCCGACTCCGTCGTTCGGTAGACGACACTATCCGACTCTTGCGTCGTATCACGAAAAGACGTATTGGTCTGCGTGAACACTGCGCAACACGTCTTGCACAGGCGTACACGATAAGCCGCACTATATATACCTCAACTGAATAGGCTCAGAAAAAAAATCAAAAGCATGATATGGAAAGCTTTCAAGAAAGCGATCGGTCTACCACTCAACGAGAGCACTGAAAGATTTCTAGCGCTTGCCATGGACTTCACAACTAACTTGACGAGTTGATGAGGCCCATGATTTTGCGCAATACTTGTCAAAACCAAAGGCTGGTCGACACATCCTTGAGTCACTGGGTATCGGGTATCACACTCAGCAGGGAGAAAAGGCGGATGTTCCTGCCTAGGTCTGCGACCGCCCGATCATTCCACCGCTTCCTAAGAGTATACACCTGACGTACCATGAAGGCCGACGTAACGAGTGCGCCAGAGAGCTCCAAAAAAGTACAGTAACACGAAGAACGTTGTACATGTAGATGCCGCGAGATATGGGGAAGAGCGAAGCGCGCACGCAACTATGGTCGTCGACCATACAGGCAAATGCCTCTCCAGTGCCACGGTGAACACGGGACACACGGAGGCGGCCGAAGAAGCCGCGATAGCCTTAGCCCTCACCGCGGTGTCGAATGCAGAGATCGTGATAAGCGATTCGCACCCGGCAGTCCGAGGCTTCGCGCGCGGCCGTGTCTTGCGGGAAGCGGCCCACATTCTTCAAATGTGCGGTGATGGCGACTCGGCGTTACACTCGCAAACACAGGTTCCAACAGTTTTCCTCCTATGGACACCGGCACACACCGACGTCCCGCTAGCGGGAAACGAGGAGGCCCACGCTGCGGCTCGAGGTCTCACTCGCCGAGCCGCGGCCCATTACATGATTGCCGCCTCCGACTCCAAGAACGGGGTGTTGGGTCTGCTGGATCGAGGCATTTTGACAGGCACACAGCAACAAGAATCACTACGGTCATGGGGTGATCGTCTCACAACGTTCCGAGACATCACCCAGCAATACAGGCTGGAAAGGCGCAAGTTCCCGCCACCACACGATAAATTAAACAGACGTGATGCCGCAAGCTTTCGCTTACTTCAAACCCATTCATACCCAAGCCCGGCCATCCTACGCCACTGCTACCAGAACTTATACCCCACCGATACATGTAAAGCAAGTGGGCACCGAGCAACGCTCAGCCACATACTCTGGAAATGTTCCGGTAACAATTGTCGTGAAAACGATGCCGGTCGCAATGCGCCTATACAGCGGCTGTATATTCCATGGACCATAGGTAACCTCGAGCTCGCTCGTACTCACTGTCGCCCCGGCTGCGGAAGCCGCGGGGAACCTTCTTCGTCGGCGCCGCCGCGGCGGGGAGGCGGCCCTCCAAAGCTCGCAGCTGAACGCCCAGCTCTGGGCCGCCCGGCAGGCCGAGGAGGCCGACCGAGTCCGAGGGCTCGGTGCAGCCACGGGAAGCCACCAAGCTCAAACTGCTGGCCCACTGTCGTACTCTGTGTGTTATTAAAGTCTTTTCTCTCTCTCTCTATAAAAGAATTGGGCTCCGAGAGCATTATGGCCATTAGTTTGCACTAAAAATAATTTTTCCCTTTAGTAAATATGAAATGGGAAACGTAGATTACACGAAGGTTACTTGAACAAGGTATCGCTTGGTGGTTCCTTTGCACTGAATATTGTGCTTGAAAACTTGCACGTGCAAATCTGAAGATAAGAGAGAAAAGAAGTGCTTATTTGCATCAATGCAGAATAATCCCTGGAACTTTGTGAAGTCTGAAATAACATATTTTTATTTACACCCTATTCACAAGGTTCAATGACATAATATTGTCACGTGAATGAAGATAATGACGTTTCCTGGGTATTCCCAAGAGTAGGGTGAAAAAGACAGAAATCATGAGCACTACAACAACACCTTGTTGAAACAATGTAAACAACCTTGTTGTGATCACTCTGGTAGATAACGAATCAGCAATAACGTGCATTGTTGCTTTCTATGCTTCAGCGCAACTAACATGATTATAAACGGGAACATGTGGTATCGTACAGAAGTAAAGAAAGTACTGTCTTAGAGGGAAGAAAGATCTGCCATGCACTTTTGTAAAAAAAACGGCTGGTTTTAGGCGTTTTATTAACGATCATGGTATTTCTGCTGCACAAGCATGTACAGCTTGTATGAAATATGAAATGAGTTATGACAGTTATACACATTTCTGCTTTCCAGCTAGTATGTTTATATATGTAGATCTGGTTTGTACAGGATAAGTTTTCTCGCTGTAGTTCACTTGAAGTAGGATATTGGAAAGAAGTTGATCACTGCGTATGTTGATCTCAAAGGGGCCCTGCAACACTTTTTCAAGTGATCATCGAATGACCTCAGTATAGTAGTTTATTGCCTCACGAATAGACTGCGCAAAAAGTTTCAGAATGCGTAGAGTAGTAGCGAAGCTACAGGAATTTGTTGCGTGCTACAAGCACCCTTTCTCTCTCTTTTTGTCCCAGCAAGCGCACTGAAAGCTGCACAGGTCAAGATGACGAGCGAGCAAAGAAGCTGGATCAAGAGCTGTACAGTTACCGCGGTGGCTGCACGATGCTCAAATCGGCCGTAGCTGAGCTTGGCTATGGCAGCGATTTCTAGCTGACTGCAAAATTTAATAATAAATTCAGTGCCACCTGTTGTACTATAATATTTTGCTCGCATGTTCTCTTCGTATACCAATCGGCATCATCGTCTGATCACTTTCAAAAAGTGTCTCAGCACCCCTTTGAAGGCATGCTTTAGGTAGTATAATAGATGAGTGCTACCTCTGTCTGAAGTATGATTTGGAAGAAAGTGAAGCACCGGAGGTGCCTATAAGGGCACCCATGTTCACCTCTAACTCCTCGAAAAACTGAACTTGGCCACGCACTTATACAATCGTACACACACTTAACGCCAAAATGCACGAAATGCTTCAGTGGCGTATAGCCAGCTGGGTGGTCTTGGGGGTTCAACCTCCTCCCCCCTTCTCCCCGAATTTTCCGCCTTTTGTATTTGTATACATACGCGCACACTTACAAGCACATGAACAAAATACGAAAAATAGATCCCCCCACCCTCTCAATCACGCGTGCAAACTTGTGGCTATAGCCCTCTGGAGTTCTTTTTCTGCCTTGTTTAATCGAAGTTTGCTTCTGCAGTAAACACTGATGTGGAATATAAAAATAGCATCAGACAATCAAAACACCTACTTACGTAGCTATTATTAGATACAGCAGGGGAACGGCTTCTATAAAAATTTCTACTAGCGATCGGAAAATATAACTATTCAAAGTTTGGTTTCAGAAAAACCACGCAAACTTACGCAGTGTGATGTTGTTATTGAAGCGTACATCCGCGGCCGGGTCTGTGCAGAATGCGCCAGCAGCCAGCTTTGGCTCTGTAGGGCGAAACCTTGAGACAGTTTCGGGCTCTGAAGTGGTGTATCAGAAGCATTCGTGTCCTGGTTTTGAGGCTGACCACATCAGAGCCCGACACTGCCTCAAGGTTTCACCCCACAGAGCGAAAACCGGCTGCTTGCGTGCTCTACGCAGACGTGGCCGTGGCTGTAAGTTGAACTTCTAAATTGCGCGTATCAATACGCTAACAGCACATTACTCATTTTTGGTCAGCGAGGAACAAATCGAGCTCCATCCTACGAGTTTCGTGCTGGATCCCACAGCGACCAGAATTCTCTTTTAATGCCGAAATTTCGCATCGAAACTGACCTGTTACGCGTTGCACGCGTGTCAGTTTTGTGAACAACAAAAACCTCTCCATTAAAAATTGAGAGCAACGACCGATTAAAGAGAACGCTGCAGCGTGAAAGGCCAGCGATAGATGGTCACTAATATTTTATTTTTAGAGCTGTGTGTGAATAGGCAAGAAGGAAGGAACATGAGAGAACGGAAAGGCAGGAATGTTAATATATAGTATAGAAGGACTGGTATACTACCCTACATTGGGGAAAAGAACGGGGGAGTTTAAGGAGAAAGAAAGTGCAGAGCACGCAAATACAGAGTGCGTCTCGTCGTATGCAGTGAAACTACGAACCTCATACTCCCGAATATATCTTCTGCGACTTCATATTAGAAAATATACTGGCCATAGTATTTTATAATAAAACGCCTATTAAACAAAAAAGCTGTTCTGACAACTTCATCATGCGATTATAGAATTGCGTTTGCTCGGTCAATCTTTTCCCATTTGTTCATCATCATCAGCTTACGTGCTTGTGTTGCTGCTTGTACGATCACATCATCATCATCCTCATCATAATCAGCCTGACTACGTCCACTGCAGGACAAAGGCCTCTCCCATGTTCCGCCAGTTAACTCGGTCCTATGCTTGCTGCTGCCAATTTATACCCGCAAACTTCTTAATCTCATCTGCCCACCTAACCTTCTGTCTCCCCCTAACCCGCTTGCTTTCTCTGGGAATACAGTCAGCTAGCCATAATGACCAGCGGTTATCCTGTCTACGCGCTACGATCACGTGAATTTCATTTTAGGCTGTAAGATGACCGACGGGAATCAAGGGCATTTTTGTGTGGCTCGATGGCGCAGAAGGCAAATAGATTGTTACCGGCGTACTTAGTGTCAACAGATCTGTGCGACCACCTGTAGACTAGATATGCGCCCCCAAGTGTTTCTCTCCATCCCTCGCTTTTCTTCTGTCTACATCATCGCATCTTCTCCCACTACAGGGTAGCAAAGTTGACGCGCGTCTGGTTAGTCTTCCCGCCTCTATCCGCTTTTTTCCCTCTTTAATACATCCTTCCTTTCTTTCATTAAATCGAGTTTAGCCCATTTAGCCGATTTTTCAGAATTCTTCGTTTCGTAATTACCTACTGGTCGCATTGCGGACAACTCGAAATACATTGACCTCTTTGTAGATAATCAAATTGCAGACCCATATGCGGGTACACACTAAAATGCATTGAGTTATTTGAATGCTGCAAAACAAACATCAACAGATTTTAACGATTGGTGTTCTCGACCAACAAGCAATATAAATTACGAAGCAAGAACGTCAAACAACCGCCGGGAAAGACACGCAAGGGATATTAGCAAAGAACGAGAAAATTTTCTGCATTTGAGGTAGCCTCAAGGAGTAAAGATAGTTACCCATTTCCTTTCTCGCACAGTTGTTGCGCCAATTGGTATGCAGTTGTTTTCATTGTTGATCCGTGTATATACTTTGTACACTGGCTGCGTGAAATAAAACCCGGCCCATTTCGTGCAAATTTGCACAGTCACTGTTGATATCCCAACGAAATGGGGTTTCTACCGTAAAACTTTCGAGATTTTCAAGCCCACGTGAGAAAGCCTCTCACACTACTTTCATCTCTTTGCAGAGCCGAAATTGTTAGCATTATCGCCGGCGGTACTCCAATTGCTTCCGCGTTGTGTGCGTTCAATAGCAATGAACAAGATGCAGTTTCGGAAAATGCACGCAATGGCATCAAACGTATTAACTTCACCCAACTCTCTACTTTTGCTTAATTTATTTTAGTTGTTCTGTCCATTAAATAAATTAAAAATATTGGTTGTCATATTTGAAAGGTCAGGCTTTTTATTAGGCGGCGATAACCCCTGCAAGAGCGAGAGCTCAGCATCTCCACTTCAAAATTACCGGGGTGTGTCATAGGAGTCACTATCATCTATTAATGAGAATGCTCGAGACTTTTTATTGTCTTGTGTTTTACTCTTAATATGCTCGGCCTCACTGAAAAAAAATCAGAATAGCTGCCTAGACATAACTCTTCACCAAGCTATATGACTGTTTTTGTCGTATGAAGCCACTTATCTCTCACCTGCTCATATAAGCACAATACGACTGATGTTGCACAACTGTTACAACACGCAAATGACTAATTCCTTCAATTCCTGCTGCGTAAAACTGCTTTCATAGTAAAGCTTGTTTTTCCTGTTAAGTGTGTGTACGGCTGTATTACCCACGCTGAAAACACTCTAGGCTCCTTACCCCTACAACCACCGTCCTACACAATTTTTTTTTCAACGTAGAGGAAAAACCAACACGTGCAATAGAAAACAGGCAACCGTCAACTTCGACGTCACAACGAACACTGTTTTCCAGGCACACCACGGCGAGCAACGCTGCACACTACCGGCCTTTCTGAATGTCGCCATTGCAGAGAACGCACTGCAAAACGACTGGACCCATTTGTTCTATATGGTCCACACCTGTACTTTCTCAGCAATCACACACCAACTGGCTCTATCGTAGTACGAAGATATTATGTGGAGGTTCTCGACGTACTTGTCAATCAAGCTGTCCAGTTCTCCCTCTCGAAAAACGTGATAGTACCGGTGAAGCATGAGCGAGCTCCCTCCGCCATCAGTGTCCTGCAGGGACTCTTGAGATGACGATAGCGAAGCAGACTCCTTTCGGTTCAGGCTTCCCCTGGAATCCGCAGCTGACTCATCTATCCCATGGCCACCGATCTCTGAAGTCTCAGTTTCTTCTATGTCTTCCTTTTCTGCGTCATTCTCTTCAGCTGTACCGGCCGTTGGACTTGGGCACTGTAGCACGGTTTGAAAGCTAGCGGTTGAACTGGAGCCGTTTGAGGTACTGTTTACTAACCTTTCAACGGTCAGAGAGTCGCAAGTCGGCACCGCTATTTCTTCGACGGCCGGCTCGTTGCAGGAATCGCTTTCCTCGCTGTAATCCTCCACAATAAAGTTGAATGCGGGAGGCGTGTCATCTTCATCTTTTTCAACTTGAGGTTCATCATTTACTCCCGAAGTGACCACACTTTCATCGACATTTTCTCCTTCGAATGCCAAGTATTCAGTTGAATTCTCGTTCGTATGCAGCTGATTTAATTCTGTTGTCGAATTTCGCTGTTCACCGGGTACATCGGCCTTTTCGAAGTCGTCACGCAGTTCTTCTTCATTGCACTCCGCTATGCTTTCTAATGAGTCGTCTGGAGAGCTGTCCCGAGATGTCGGTTTGGGCAAAGGTGTGCTCGCGTTAATACTGTTATCCAAACTCGGCTCAGGCGCTTTACATTGCTGGTTTATCGACGCTGTGACGTCCATAATTTCCGGATTATCCTCTGCATCAACTGAAAGCACAGATGGCAGCAAGTGCTCCCAGTACTTCTCCCCAGTCTTAGACTGGTACACGCTTCCAAAACTGATTTGCGTGAATGGCAATGTTTTATTGATAACAGTTAGCCTAATGGCTGTTTCACTGCAGTCAACATCTTTTTCTTCAGTTTGTATCTCTGTGCTCTTCTTGCACACAAAATTGTCTGTTATGTCTGTGCTCTCTGGCATGCTTTCACCAGCTGACGAAAGGAACGAGATAAGGCCAGCTTCACTGTCGGTAACACATCTACATTTGGTCAAGTCTTCATCTATGTCAGCTTTTTCGTCTATTGGACTAACGTTAGACAGTGTAGGTGATGCGCCGCTAGTTTTCTCTATCCAAAATTCTGGTGATAGTGGACTTGCAGAGCTATGCTGGTGACAAACGTTGGATGTTTGAGGTTCGTTTTCCAACGATAGGACTTCGGTCTCCGGCTCTAAGGTTCCTTCCGAGCTGGATGTTGTACTGTCCGGAAATCTGGAGGAGCTGGCATCGTCGGTACCGGAACAAGTGAAGAACGTTTGAGTTCGCTGCGATTCGCTGCTTGTGGCGAAGCTTTCTTCTTCTGGCACTGTGTCGGTCGCTGTGTAATACGGATCGTCCAGATCTGCCACGTCAAATTCGAGCTGCGGGATATCGTCTTCGCAGCAGCTGGCGTCCCCACCGGCGGCGGTGCAGTCGGGATTCGACATGTATGATTCCGTGTCTCCTGACTCACTGTCGTTGTCTCCGATTTCTCCAATCGACTCCGCAGCTTCTGGTTGTTGTGGCGAGTCCGCCAAGTTGTCCCACTGCTGCACGTATATGGTATCTGTGCATTGGGCGAAGGATGCAATAGCGCCTATTATGTCTCGAATGACTACGGCCTCGCAGTCGGAGAACTTGTCCAAGTGCTGCCGCGGAAATGCACCCAAGAGAGGCGGCGAGTTCTTGGGCGCCAACTTAAGTGTCGGTGAGAACTCAGGTGACGACGCCTCTTGTGTTCCCACAGTAATGCTGAGTGGCGAAGCCCTGAGACTATTTGATGTGGCCCTTTGAAGTTCCTTCCGTTGCATAATAGCTTCTATTTCACTGCTACTTCGTTGTATCACAGACACGATTGACTCCTCGCTGTCCACACTGGTGTCGCTTTGCAGGCTGCTGCATTTTCGTGATCTGACAGAAATTATAGATTCTTCGGAGTCTTCCGAGACGTTCCGGCTTCGGGGCGTTGTGGGAGACGCGCACATCGAAGCCGACGCCGAAGAGGCCGAGAACCGCCTGTGCTGTTTTCTTGGCTCGGCTCCATTGTTCGTACCGACGCTCATGCTTCGCTTTACAACCCTGCGTTTGTTTCGGATTCTGTGACAGGTATCTTCGTCTTCCACAAAAATGTCAGAATCGAATGAGTCCTTAGAACGGTCTTGGTGCTCCATTTTTACGAGGGGAACTCTCAAGTTCACAGAAGTTCCTTCTGAAACTTCGGCCGATTCTTCCGAGAGGGTGTGGAGGTCTGGCATGGAATAGTAAGTCGACATGGGAGCGTCCTGATTGCCCTCGTCAACACTGGAACGCCGATTTTCTACTTCACCCAGGGAACATTGGTTGTAGAAATTCTTGAGCAGTGATTTCTCTTGTAGCCTCTGACCGCACAGGCGCATCCGCTTCCGAGTGAGCTGCGCCACGCCCGTCCTGCTAGCCTTGGCCGAGATGTAGTCGTGGACAGTGGTCGTTGATGTCGCGCTGATGAGGCACTTTTCTAGGTTCGCGTTGTTATTGAAGGAGTTGAACCAGTTCTTTGTTCGACATCCATTGAAGCCCGTAGATGGTGACTGCAGGTAACCGAGTTGTTCTTTGACAATCGTGGACAACTGCTCGTCGCTCAAAATACTGTTTCCGTTTGCTATGTCCGACGTGGTGAGCTGGCTTGACACGTTGGCAGTGGAGTCGATGTCGTCACCAGCACAGCTTCTGGGCATGCTCCCGTTATCCGGCTTCTCACTCTTCTCCATCTCTTCGGGGGACTCCTGGCTTTCTACCATCGTAGGCATCTGGTAGTCTTCGCGTAGATGCTCGAACCTGGCGCAGCAGGATGCCGTAGACTTCGAGCGCACGATGCCATTCCTCTCTTCCACTATCCTTTTCAGGTATTCGCGTGGGTCACTAGCTGTCGAGATGCGCTTCTGGAACTCGTGCGAGCCATCTTTCCTCCGCCTTGCACGGAGCATGGCGGGAATGATGCTAAGGACATCACCTAGGGAGCGCGACTTTCCATGGCCTCGAAGGAACTTCTCGCCGCCGTCGAGGCCCGAAGGTGGCCTGCTTCGTGCTGCAGCAGTCTCCTCGACTGGCAACTCTGCGTCCAGATGACGCAGTTCGATAAGTCCATCTTCCTCTTCATCCTCCTCTTCAGGCGCCTCGGCAGCGGCACTCGCGTCGGGCTGTGACTCTTTTTCGGCACCCTGCAAAAGTTCAGATCAGAGGCCAGCGGTTTAATGCTATCAACAGTTCACGATTATTAAATGCATGTCATTGGTATAGGCACCCAGGAGATAGAAAATATTACAACAACTTCAAGAGGACCTTTTCTTACGCATCATCAGGCGTGCTTCCAACACCACAATAATCCGGAGTGCAACGCCAGTGACATGAATGAACACAATGGCTGACGAGTAGCCTAAAACTAACGTTTCACGTGATAACAAAGGAACAATAGCAAAAAAATGACAACTTCACCGTATATGGACAAACACCCTCATGCAGCTGTGTTTGCAGAAAGCAGAGGCTCATCTACAAAATTAAAATAGTTGCACAAGGGATTTTAGAGGAGCTAGTTGATTCATGAACATCGGGGACGCAACAGCACAGACGACGGGAAAAAGAATATACACAGGACACGGCGCTGGTTCTGCGTATTCGTACCGCCATCTGCGTTGTTTTGCCTCAATAAAATAATTGGTGGTCAGGAAAGAAGTAGTTCCAAAAAAAAAAAAGAACTTCATCGCAACGAACTCAAGATATGCCACGTTTCCTTTCAGAGAAAAATAGATTAGGATGCTGACTTCAAACGCAGCGCATCGACACTACACTGACGAGTGACATCAGACTTCACAGGTAAACTTGACTAACTTTCAACAAATGATTTACTTCCTAGATCAGAGCATATAGACGAATACCAGCACTCCCGATTGTTTATGATGATGATGAGTAGTTATTAGTGGCGCAAGGGCCAATTGATGGCCAAAGAGCGCCATTTCAATTGACTACAGATATGAACAATGATATGGTGCGTGGCTGTAAAGGGGCCTTAAAATTCCTCGCTCTAACGCGGGTTAAAACATGAAAGTAATAAAACCATGACAGTGGCGTGACATATGTGTGGTGATAGCTGATGGCAAAATGTCATGATAATAAAACCATGATGAAGACATAGTCACCGCATCCACGACCACTCTATAGAGGTCGTGCTACGGATGACCTCGAAATATCGGGTGAAAGCTTTGCACTTCTTTTAAAAATGTAAAAAGTGTTTGCAGTTTAAAAAGCGGATCCCTACCGATGAGCATCCCAGGGTGTAGAGGGAGCTGCTGTCGGTAGGGCAGTAAAAAGTGCTTTTTTTTTAGAGCATCTAGCTCATTGCACTGGACGAGAATGTGGAGAACCGTAAGGGGCTCTCCACATCTCTCACAATATGGTGGATCAAAGGTAGACAGAAGAAATGAATGTGTAGAATGTGTGTGTCCAGTCCTAAGCCTTGTTAGTATTACTTCCGTGTGTCGTGATTTTGATAGTGGCAGCCAATAACCTTGTTGCGGCTTAATAGCATGGAGTTTATTATCTGTTTGTTTATCCCACATGCTCTGATACCCCCTGAGCTTTCGTTTTATAAAACGTTTTAAGTCAAGTGCAGGGACTGGTGTTGGTGCATTGGCAGTAGTGACATTGGCGCAAGCAGCCAGATTGTCGGCCAAAACGTTCCCTTGTATTTCACGGTGCCCTGGAACCCAGCAGACAACGACATGCTGTTTTGATGCGTAGAGTGTGCACAGAAGTGAGTAGAGTGACACCAGCACGGGGTTCTTGTGTTTTTTAGGAGTTTTCAGGGCTTTGACCACGCTTAGGGAATCTGCGTATATTACCACCTTTTGTAATTTTATCTGTTTAATGTGTTTTACGACCGCCAGTATTGCTTAAGCTTCTCCTGTGAAAATGCTTGCATTAGGATGAGGAACGCCGGCCTCAGAAAAGGATTGGCCTATTGCTGCCTATGACACAGAAGTGTTTGACTTTGACGCATCAGTAAAGAACTCAGGGCATGTGTATTTATGTTGTAGTTCTAAAAAGTATGTATGTATGTGTGCAAGTGGTGCGTGCTTTGTGACATCAACAAAAGAAACATCACAGTCTATAAGCTGCCACTGCCACGGTGGCAGATATGTTGCAGGAGCCATCAAACTGGGTTCAAGAAGAGGCACACCTGTTCCTTCGGCCAAGCTCCTTACACGCAGCGCGTAGGGCTGCCTAAACGAAGGTCGGTTCTCGAACAAGCCAGAACAAGACAAATCATTAATTGTGAAATGGGAAGAATGTTTCTTGTCTGCCTTCACCTTCAAAAAGTACAAAAAGGACAGGGAACATCTTTGTAGGTGGAGCGACCATTCATTCGAATCCACGTACAGGCTCTCCACAGGGCTGGTGCGGAAAGCACCCGTAGAGAGGCGAATGCCTAGATGGTGGACAGGGTCGAGAATTTTCAAGGCTGATGGTGTTGCCGACTGATAGACTATAGCGCCGTAATCGCCGTGATAGACTATAGCGCCGTGATAGACTATAGCGCCGTAATATAGCGCCGTACGAGGCTTTTATATAAGTTAATTAAACATTTCCTGTCACTTCCCCATGTAGTGTGTGACAACACTTTCAAAATGTTCATTGTTTTTAAGCACCTGTCCCTTAAATACTTGATGTGTGGGCTGAAAGTTAGCTTAGTGTCTAATATGAGACCGAGAAACTTGTGCTCGGTCTTCACTGACAGAGGTTGACCATGCAGGTCAATGTCGGGGTCAGGATGGAGGCCCCTCTTTCGGCTGAACAAGACACAAGTGCTCTTTTGCGCGTTTAGTATAAAACCATTCTCGTTTGCCCATTGAGATACCTTGTTCAACCCTAGTTGAACTTGACGTTGGCACATTGAGATGTTGCAAGATTTGTAACCAATCTGCACATCATCGACATATATGCAGTAAAAAATATTTCGTGGGAGAGACAGGTGCAAGGAATTCATTTTAACTATGAAAAGTGTACAGCTCAATACACCTCCTTGTGGCACTCCTGTTTCTTGGACAAATACTCGAGATAAGACAGTGCCAACTTGAACACAGAATGTACGGTTGGACAGGTAGCTTTCGATAACTGTCAGCATTCTACCCCGCACACCTAAATGTGACAGGTCTCGCAATATGCCGAAGCGCCATGCAGTGTCATATGCCTTTTCCATATCGAGAAACACAGAAAGAAAAAAATTGCTTATGAACAAAAGCGTCGCGAATTTGTGCCTCTATACGGACAAGGTGGTCAGTGGTGGACCGAGCCTCTCGAAACCCACACTGGTATGGGTCAAGTAGGCCACTAATTTCAAGGAAGTGCATCAGGCGCCTGTTAATCATTTTTTCAAAGACTTTGCAAATACAGCTGGTTAATGCTATTGGCCTGTAGCTGGAAACTGAGGCCGGGTCCTTGCCTTGTTTTAGAATTGGGATAATGATAGCTTCCTTCCAGGCTGAGGGTAGCTCGCCAGAAGACCATATCGCATTATAGAGAGAGAGGAGAGCTTTCTGGGTTTCAGTGGGCAGGTGTTTCAACATTTCATATGCCACACGGTCCGGGCCTGGGGCAGATTTATTGCAGCAGGCAAGTGAGGCCTGCAGTTCAGCAAAACAGAAAGGTTCGTTGTATGCCTCATGTGTTCTGGGCTTGCGCTCTAATCTCTGTTTTTCTATTGCGGTTTTGTATCGTCGGAACGCTTCACTATAGTGTGTTGAGCTGGAGACCTGTTCAAAGTGCGCTCCGAGAGTGTTTGCCTGGTCTTCCAAACTCTCCCCTTGTGTGTTCACTAGAGGAAGCGAATGTGCTTCTCGTCCTGCCACCTTACCAACCATGCTCCAGACTCTCGACTCATCTGTGTATGAGTTAATGCCCAATACGAATTTGTGCCAACTTTCTCTTCTCGCCTGTCGGCGCGTCCTCCTTGCTTGCGACTTGACGTTCTTAAAGTTTACAAGATTCTCGGCTGTGGGCGAGTCTCTAAGCAACCTCCATGCCTTATTTTGTTTTTTTCGAGCATCACGGCACTCATTATTCCACCATGGGACTCGTCGTTTGCTTGACGGTCCACATGTTTGGGGAATACATTTTGCTGCTGCATCAACCAAGAAAGCTGTAAAGTAGCATACAGCATCCTCTATGCTCAATGCCGCCATGTCAGTCCAAGATAATAAAGTCATTTTTTGAAACTTTCCCCAATCAGCTTTGTCGGTGAGCCATTTTGGAACTTGTGCAGGACATGTATTTGTTATTGATGAGCTGATAACGATAGGAAAATGGTCACTACCATATGGATCATTAATAACTTCCCATTTAAGTAGAGGCAGGAGTGATGGGGATATTATGCTGAGGTCTATTGCTGAGTACGTATTGTTGGCAATGTTGTAGTATGTTGGCGCTTTCCGATTCAGAAGGCATGCACCACAAGAAAAAAGAAGCTGTTCAATCAGGCGACCTTGAGCATCGCAGCGAGAGTCACCCCACAGATTGCTATGTGCATTGAAATCTCCCAGAAGAATATAAGGTTCTGGAAGTTCGTCTATGAGGGACTCGAATTCATGGTTTTCGAGACGGTGTTGTGGAGGTATGTATAGAGAGCAGATGGTGACGATCTTATTCAATAGAACTGCTCGAACAGCCACCGCCTCAAGGGATGTTTGTAATGTTAGGTGTGTGCATGCAATCCCTTGATTGACTATAATGGCAACACCACCGGATGGCACAATGGCATCATTCCGGTCTTTCCGAAAGATAATGTAGTGACGTAAAAAGTTGGTGTGTTTCGGTTTCAGGTGTGTCTCTTGTACGCACAGCACTTTAGGTGTATGTTTGTGTAAAAGTTCCTGGATATCGTCGAGGTTTCTCAACAGTCCTCTGACGTTCCACTGTAGTATTTGTGTCATTTTAATTTAGTGTGGTGCTGTGCATACAGAGGTGTTGCGTTAGTTTACAGGGCCTTTTGAGGGCCCTGTGATTCGAGGTTTTTCTTTTTTGGCGCGCTCCAAGGAGTTGCGCCTATCCTTCGGCGTCTGAGGCGCCGGAGGAGTGGGATTTGTATCCATCACCTCGTGTGAGGTGGTGGATGGTGCCTGCTGGGCAGGCACATTCACTGAACTTTCGGACCTGACTGCGCCTGCAGTGGTCCGAGGTTCAGCAGACACTAGGGTCTGCCGGCCCTGTTTGTCAGGTGGCGGAGCAGTACAGGCTGCTCCAGCCGGGGGCACTGGTGGCACGACCGCGGCCACACACTGTGTGGCATTCGCGGGTGCCGAGGCATGTGGCGCGGCGCCCCGGCGCGTCACATCTGCAAAGGAGGGATAAAATGGGTTGTGTATTGCGAAGCGTTGGCGCGCTTCTTGGAATGTGAGATTAAATTTAACTTTAAGTTCTACTATTTGTTTCTCTTTTTTCCATGCGGGGCATGATAGTGAGTAGGCAGCGTGATCTCCTTCACAGTTCGAACAATGAGTTGTTTCTGAGGTGCAGTTGTCTGATATGTGTTGAATGGTTGCGCACTTTGCGCAAGTGGCACGCCCTCTGCAACTCTGCGATCCATGACCGAAACGTTGGCACTTGAAACATCGACGAGGGTTGGGAATGTATGGTCTTACACGAAGCTTACAATAGCCGGTTTCGATTGATTCTGGTAGGTCACTTGTTCCGAAGGTAATTATTACGTGTTTTGTAGGGGTCAGTTTGTTGTTGCGTCTTATTGTTATTCGTTGGACTTTGACCACGTTCTGGTCCTGCCAACCTTCGAGCAGCTCACTTTCAGAAAGCTCAGTAAGATCATCATCAGAAATTACGCCACGGACAGTGTTCATGGACCTGTGTGGGCCCACCGAAACAGGTGTTTCCCCAAAGGCCACAAGCTTAGACAGCTTTTCATACTAAGCTTTGTCACGAACCTCCAGAAGAAGATCGCCACTTCCCATCTTTGTTACTTTGTAACCTGGGCCTATTGCTTCTGTGAGAGTTTTGGAGACGAGGAAAGGTGAAATAGCTCGGACTGTCTTCTTTTCGTTTTGACTGTGAATTAGATGGTACTTTGGGAATGTGGGCTTTGGTGTGTTAGGCAAGAAAGTATCTTCGGTGCGCCACCTTTTTAGGGAGCGATCAGGAAGGGGGGGAAAAGATTTTGCCATAAAATACAATAAAGTTCGGCGGCGATGGTGGCCACCCACCACCGAGCCCAACAAGGGGACGCTACAAGGTTGACTAGTGAACACTTGGAGACGCCAGCCATGCATCGCCGCTATAACCGAATATAACTACCCAAGGTTGGGTAACTACACAGGGTTAACCCTCGCCGCCAGGAAATTCTGAAGTAAACGGAAAAGAGGAGAAGACAGGACAGATAAAAAGTAGAGATAAAGACGAAGATGTAGGAAGACAGAGATAGGAAAAGGCGACTGCCGATTTCCCCTCGGTGGGTCAGCCCAGGGGTGCCGTCTACGTGAAGCCGGGGCCAAAGGGGTGTGTTGCCTCTGCCGGGGGGCCTTAAAGGTCCAATCGCCCAGCGTCGGCTCAACCCCCAGGATCCCCTTTTCCCCGGACACGGCAAAGCCACGCACGGCTAGGCGTGGGGGGGAGTAGAAACTCCCCCGTTAGCTCGGGTCCGTGGTGTCGCTACACACCAAACGCCTACTTGCGCAGGCGCCCCTGCGGGGCTCCTGATTGTTTAGGATTTTTAGAATTGCGTACCATGATGTGTAACGTGTGGTCGCATATTAAAGCTTAGCTCACTGAAATTTATTAGCTTGTTCTTTTTTCAAAGTATCGCGACTAATCCTGCCTCTGCAATAATAATAATAATAATAATAATAATAATAATAATAATAATAATAATAATAATAATAATAATAATAATAATAATAATAATAATAATAATAATAATAATAATTCTTATTTAACGTCTCGAAACCACCATATAAATATTAGAGACACTGTAGTGGAGGACTCCAGAAGTTTATACCACCTGGGGTTCCTTAACGTGCACCTAAATTTAGGCACACCGGCCTCAAGCATTTACACCTCCACTTGAAATGGGGCCGTCGTGGCCGGAATTCGAACCCGCGACCTGTGGTCACGCCTCTCCGAATAACGTTAACAGGCTGAAAAAGTATTTCGTACTCACCGTCATAGCTACTAGCAGTAGTGACTAACACTCCCAGGTTTAAATATGCCCCGCCGTGGTAGTCTAGTGGCTAAGGTACTCGGCTGCTAACCCGCAGGTAGCGGGATCGAATCCCGGTTGTGGCGGCTGCGTTTTAGATGGAGGTAAAAAGGCTGTAGGTTCGTGTGCTCAGATTTGGGTGCACGTTAAAGAACCAGGTGGTCGAAATTTCTCGAGCCCTCCACCACAGCGTATTTCGATCATATGGTGGTTTGGGGACGTCAAACCTCACATATCAATAAATTAATTGATCATCGGGTTTAAATTCTCAAGTATACCTCATAAAGTGGACGGATGACCGCCGTAGTAGCCCATTTGGCAGAGCATTTATTCGCAGGTTTGATCCCTGTCAGTGGCAAGTTCTTTATTGCGATAGCCAATATATGAACACGCTCAACTGGATTTTCCCGTTGACGTCGGCATCGCCATCACCCACCTCATATGTATCCGTATCGATATATATGATAACCCAAGAAAGAAAAATAAACCAAAAAAAACTACAGCACACGGAATCGAACTTGGGACCTCTGAAACGAGAGAGCAGGGCGTTAACCACTGAGCCACGGAGAGGCACGTCCTTCAACGCTGAAACGGCAAGCTATTTATATCTACCACTTACCGCTGTTGACGGGCATCTCGGGGGTAGCTATCGTGTTTTCAGCATTACCAGCTGAATGGCGCAATGAGCACGCGTCGCCACATCGTCACGACGCGGATGTGCGCGCTCATCTCCCACGCGTACTTTGCCCCGCGGAGAGGAGGAAAGTGGACGCTCGCTCGCTCGCTCGCTCGCCCTTATCACGCGCTGGGGAGATCGTGCGTCTTGGCTAGCCTTGGGATTACACCCGAACAATTACATTGTAGTTAGTGAGAGCACAAAGGTCACTGCATTCGTTGCACAGTCTCTGTTTGCGAAAAGGGCGAGCTTTTCAGACACAGCGAAGTAACAAATGAAACGCTTATTCGCGTTCATCTGTACCTGTGAGTACGTTTTGTGCGCCATTTGTGCGTGAGAAATGCGGGGCATGTTTCAATCTGCTTGCCATTCTGCACGTGACCTTCCAATTTGTTGCTATCGGGTTCATTGCTTCGCCTTTACGGCAAAACTGTCACTTTTTTTCGTTTCTTCATCACTTCAATCATACATACCATCCGCCATACTTTCCGTATCTTGTCTGCTAGTTCTAGTTATTGTCGTGCCCAAGTTTATCATAAATTTCTCCCCATCAGCAATAACGAGGAATTGCGTTGGAGTGCAGGTGGGGCAACCAGACGAGCGCGTTCATGTAACGTCTCAAGTTCTTCGGACTAGACCATTCTCGTCCTCCAGCGGTTACTTGGTAAATGAGCACTTTACGGTCGAGACGAATAGTGCGTGCGCGCTTACCTGTGGCGAAGTGACTTTGCTGTCGGTGGAAGCGGCGGCGTTGTAGTCTGAGAACCATCCTCCACGGCAGCTGCTGTAGAAGTACGGCCGCGACCGGCGGTTGCTGGAGGACAACTTGCGCAGCGCGCGGCGCATGAAGCTGTAGCACGTCTCGCTGGGGCTCGACAATTCCGAGCCGTCGACGCTGCCAAGGCGACGACGGCCCGATCGTGCTGGCGCCGCCGTGTCACTGTCTGAGGCTGGCGGATTGTACGACTGGTACACCAGTAGGTCGTCCTCACTCGTCGTCGTGCTCGTCATCTCGCGTTCCACTGACGAGCCGCGGTCTGCGTGATAAGTCATGGTTCTGCATGTCAGCGTGGACGTAGGGCTGAATAGCGCCTTGTGGCTAATGTGTAACCCGTAACTTTGTGCATGAGCGCATATCATTTCTTAAAGGACATTGACAACGTGATTCAGAGTGTGATAACGATACACGGTTCACAAAAGGCATTGTAGCAAATAGAATAATGATGCAGTGCCAGTTGACGTCATGTGAGCTATAGTGATTTGGACATCAATCAATATTGTGCTCATCGACCTTGATCCCACTAGATGTAAACATTCATACGAACAAAAACTCGCCCGTGTTCTTGCTTGGTAAGCCACTGATCCTGCACGAAGTAGTTAGCTTTCGGTACACGTCATCTGCACACTAACATAAAAGATGAGGAGAAACAAAGAGCTGTGCAGCTCGGCGAGATGCTTATGCAATAATGCATCGTAAAAGGTTCTTGTACTCCTGTTTTCTGCCGTCACTATGTACAGTCGTAATACGCGCACATCGTCGCGTTCAAAGCGTGCAACCATTTTTAGGTGTTCTTTCAACGTCTATGCCCTGAAGCCGTAAAAGATAAGTGCAAGCTTATGCTCGCATTTATTTTAAGATGCGAAGCAGCTCTTTCACTCCCGTGCGTAACGCCATACGTACGTTCGTTCGTACGAACACGACGCAACGCGATTTCATTGCTGCAGATGCTGGAGTGGTGCCAAGTAGGTGACGCTCCCCTCGCACGCTTCTCTCGCAGGTGAGTGCCAAAGTCATTCCCTCTCTCACCCGCAGCAGGCTCACCGCAGCTGCCGGCTCCTCCACCCGCTCGCAACACATTTCTCTCTTGCTTCACTTTCTCTACCGCCCGCTCGACCACACGTCGAGTGGAAACACTCTTTCGGCTCGTCTATCTGCGATGAAACTTACACGAAACTCAACCCGCCTCCCATGTCTTTGCGTTTCGAACAAGCGCTAGCTCGAGTAAACGCTACACCAACTTTCGCTTCAAACCGCACTTCAAGCACCCCACGTCAACGCCCGCTTCAACCACTCAACGCCCTCCGCTCCACGCCTGCTTCGCATCCCATCAGGGTTTCCTTCGGGGAAATGGTTCATAATTTTTACACAATTTCTTCTTATCAGTTGTTTTTCATTGAGACGTTTCATCTGTCATTTACTTTCAACCGCTATCGTTCTACTGAAACCTGTAAGTGAATAAAAACACCATGACCTTATTTTTGGTCCAGTGGTCCCGTGCCGCCTATATCCCACAGGGTGGGTGCCTTCCAAAGCAGCTCATCGTTCTGCCAAGCATGCAACATGCCGAAAGTGCACTTGGGCTTGTTTACCGGTAGGCACGTGACCTTATACTGGCCTAGTAGAACTCGATGGAATTCAAAACGCTCACCCCATAGGAATGGTCAGCACCTCTTAATGATGGGAGCCCTACATTTCTGCGAGGATCAACGTACAGCAGCTGTTTGGACTTGACGTTCGTGTCACGTCGCTTCGCCACAAACGTTAAGTGGTTTTTAGACATCGAGACACATGGTAGCGATCACATCCCCAGTTATCTCACCATCGAAGGCTTTGCTAGCGACCACCCGCCGAAAACCGTACGGAAGATCGATCTTTCAGCATTCAAAACCAACATTGAACACGCTTGTGAAAAAGGCTTAACCTCTGACATTGAGCAAGCGATCAAACAAGCAGCGCAGAGTGCGATGCGCACGCTGGCATATTCTTCAAAGCCCTCAGAAACGGACATGGAGTTAGAGCGACTCCGTGCGACTCGTCGGCGTGCGGAGCGTAGATATCGACGCACAAAATCCATTCAAGATCTAAGGATGGCCAGGCGCATGCAAAAGAAGATCCAGCGTCGTATAGACAAACTGGAGTTTCAACGGTGGGCTAAATTTTGCGCGAGTCTAGACCCTCGCAAACCGCTTTCTCAAATATGGCGAACCGTGCGAGGCCTACGCACATTTCCCCAACAACGTTTTCCGTTTAAAGCCTTGGCCCTTTTCCAAAATAGAAGGGATATCGAGGTAGCGGAAGATTTTTGTAGGAAGATTGCGGGCCCACCAAATTGCACAGAAACCCTTACTGCTCATTACACGCCACATTCACTTGACCCGCACCTGGACCTGCCTTTTTCAATGGAAGAACTGAATGTGGCTCTTGCTTCATGCAATCGATTGTCATCGCCTGGGCCGGATGGCATATCATACCGCCTATTATGCAATCTCGGTGATCGAGCACGAAGTGCTTTGCTGGAAGTATTCAATGAGTCTTGGAGAGATGGAACGGTCCCCAGAGAGTGGAAAACAAGCCGGTTGGTTGCACTTCTCAAACCTGGAAAATCGCCTCTAGAGCTGACATCATACCGCCCAATAGCGCTGGCTAGTTGCGTAGGGAAGCTGATGGAGCGAATGATCCTTGCCAGACTCGAGTGGTTCCTAGAACGCCATAGAATATATCCAGACGCCATGGCCGGTTTTCGTCGTCTTCGGAGCTCCATTGACAATGTCATTGACCTGGTGACCTACGTACAACACCAGAAAATGAGCAGACGGTTATCTGTCGCACTATTTTTAGATGTCAAAGGAGCATATGACAATGTTTCTCACGAAGCCATACTTGACGCCCTCGAGTCAGTTGGTTTGGGTGGGCGAGTGTACCGCTGGATCCAATGCTACCTACATATGAGATCATTGTTTATGCAAACTGATGATGGGCCGACTTCTGAACATTATACACACCGTGGTGTTCCTCAAGGTGGTGTATTGAGCCCCACACTGTTCAACCTGGTTCTGATCGGTCTCGTTGAACGCATACCAGATTCCGTGCAGATATCTCTCTATGCAGATGATATTTGTGCCTGGACATCAGGTGTAACACGTCCTCAGGTACGTGCGAGACTCCAGAAAGCAGCGAATTCAATATCGGCGTACCTTAGAGAACAAGGCCTCGAGATTTCTCCTGAGAAATCGGCGCTGGTCGCGTTCACGCGGAAGGCAATGACGTCATATCCCATCGCCATCAATGGACACAGTGTCTGCTACGCCAGGACCCACAGGTTTTTGGGGGTCACGATCGATCGAAATCTCTGCTGGAGTCCCCATGTGGCCACTCTAAAGAAGCGCCTAACGGCCATCGCACAACTTTTCAAGTTCCTCGGAGGCAAAACGTGGGGCACATCAGTGCACGCGATGTTGCATTTGTACAAAACGCTGTTTCTGGGGTACCTGCGGTATAGCTTGCCGGTTCTGACGAACGCTTGCAAAAGCAGTATACGCACAATAGAAACGCCCAGGGCCAGGCACTCAGAGTTTGTCTTGGATTACCACGCTGTACATCAACAGCGGAAACCATCGCAATCGCCAAAGATCATCCGGCCACAGTGCACATTACTTTGGAGGTGCTTAGAGCTCATATTAGACACCTTGCTCGCGCCCCTGCCCACCACCTAGCTTCGCTTCCAGAAGATCGACCGAGTGCCTCCTTCTGTAAGAGAGTATTGACTTTCCGTGAGTGCCTTCCAACAGTCTACACACCTCCGGACGGATACTAACACCTCCTTGGTGCTTGGACCGACCAAAACTGCGCTTGACAGTGCCGGGGATTCGCAAGAAGGCGGAGCTCTCGGCGCCAGCTTTAAAGCAGATGATTCTACTCATGCTACACGAAGAATACAAAGATCATGTCAACTTTACACGGATGGCTCGACAACTGTTGGAGGATCTGCAGGAGCTGTGATCTTCCCAGCAAGAGCCGAAACCATCCAGTTCAGAACGTCACACAAGACGACATCGACAGCCGTGGAGCTCGCGGCACTCCGCAGCGCACTCCGCAGGATTGACCAAGAGACACCACAAAAATGGAGCATTTTTACTGATTCGAAACCAGCTCTCCAATGTCTACACAATACTCTACGTCGTGGACCTCAAGATCAATTGGCGCTCGAAATACGACAACTGTACCATCACCTAATAGACGAAGGACATGACATATCTTTTCAGTGGTTACCAGGCCATTGCGGCATCATCGGTAACGAGCATGCCGACAATGCAGCTAAGAATGCTCACGAAAATGGAGTGATGGAACCTATTCCACTATCAAGAAGCGACGCAGCAGCAAAGATTAATACGCTTGCGCAGGATGTCGCAAGGTCTATGCGGAATACGCCCGGTTTTCTCCACACCCGTCTTCACCGCCTGGACCCATGCCTACGACTTACTATTCCATCTGGCCTACCCCGATCCGAGACGACCCTTCTCTGCCGTATGTGGCTTGGGGTGTCTTTCACGAACGCTTTTGCCTGCCGCATCGGAATGAGAGACAGCGCTACATGCGACCATTGCGACAATGACGAAACAATTGAACATATTTTATGTCAGTGCCCCCAGTACAGCTCTCAGCGACAGTCCCTCTCAGCAGTGTTTGCTCGCCTCGACGACCAGCCATTTTCTGAGCAGTCAATCTTGGAATGTCGGAAAGATCGAGCTTCACGCCAGAAAGCAACGAAGGCGCTGATGAAGTTTCTGCGAGCGACCCGCCTCGTAGAACGATTGTGACACTACTGTGTGCGAGTGTGTGTATGTGTGTTTGTGCTTCTCTTCCTCCCTTTCCCCTTACCCTTTCCCCAGTGCAGGGTAGCAAACCGGATGTGTTTTCTGGTTAACCTCCCTGCCTTTCCGCATTAAAATTTTCTCTCTCTACATGCAATAACTGCAGCTGCTAACAAACAATCTCCCATCTTCTGTGCGAGTGTGCCCGTTTCAACACGCCAAGACAAGAACTAACCGAAGCTCTAGATATACTCTGGATGATCGCCCTTTGTCAGAACAAAAGATTCCGGATCATTGGCCGAGCCCATCATCAGCCCAGAAGGCTTTGAAAGCTTTATTACGATTTTGGAGGACAACTGGCCTTAGCGGTAGACTTTGTGTTGTATTCTCTTGAATTTCGCTTTTCCTCTTGCGTTGTCTTTTCTCTTTTTCTTTGTAACATCTCATCTCTATTACTCCCCTTCCCCAGCTGGAGGTAGCCAGCCGGTCTAAGATTTGGCTAACCTCATTTCGCTTATTTCTTTCCTCTTCCTTCTCAAACGGCAGCAATTCTCTGCCTCCAGCATCAATGTGGATGCCTGACTATTTTACCAAGGCTGTGCGGTGAAGTAGCCAGTGTGGCAGGCACAAGATTCGATTCCCACTGCCTATTCAAAACCAGCTGATTTTTACTAGAAATGCACCAAACTCACGCGCACTCGATTGCTCTTGTGTATGATGTGAAAGAGTGCCACTAAAACCGCAAATGGCACCTACAAGTACAACAAAGGACGATGATATGTGCCGTTTTTGTCACACCTTTTCTCATCACGAATCTGAATCGACTCGCCCAACTTTTCATTGCAGTGTTCCAAAGAACGCTTCTCGAAAGGTGACGCCATGATATTCTATAAAGTCTCATGGTTGCCCCTTAGCATGTCACAGCCTTGGCGGAATAGTCGAGCATGCACCGCTGCTGTGGCACCCACAGATTCGCAGCCACCGTGCACGTACCGGTGGAACAAGCCCACTTGCGGCCTGGTGCTCGCCAAAACGAAGAGTAATTAGGAAGGTACCCGCTCTCTGATAAATTCATGGCATGGGGCCGCCAGACTTAAAATTAAGATCATCTTCTATTTTTTTCACAGGTTATTGGCGTTTTTTTATCATTGATATAGCTTGCAAACTTTTAATTTTCTTGACTGCGACAGTTTTTGATGCACGTATGCATACAATATGTTACGTATTTAGTTGTACTGTATGCCCCTCACCATATGTCGCTTCGGGGGATGCGAGGTAGTAATAAATAAATAAATAAATAAATAAATAAATAAATAAATAAATAAATAAATAAACAAATAAATAAGCTTACCTTCACTGCTGCTCTTAGTCGGCTGGCGATAGGGGACGAGCACATCTTGAGACTCGAACTGCACCAAACAACATGCACTCTGTTTAAAGATTTCTAAGAGTAAATCAGCTAATGTATTCACATATAGAAAGAGTTGGACGAGTGTTGTACGGTGGGCTGGGCTGCACTTCATCAAACATTATATATATATATATATATATATATATATATATATATATATAATGAGGAAGAGCTTTATTCGAGGCGAGCTCGGGCTGGAACACACTGATGGTGATCTCTACAGATGAGGAAATTATACAAATGATGATGACACGTCCAATTGATAAAGAAGAGCCGGTGACTGCGCTCACACTAATTACCCGTCACGCTGGAAGCGGCCCCCGGGCCGCCCGAGAGACAATCTTAGGAATTGCGTCGGGTGTACAGTTTCAGCCGAGAAACGTGCACGATTTCTGTCCCACGGCAACTGTGGTCGGAGGGAGCGTTAAGTGGTGAGATACGGTAATTAACGGGGGACATTTGTTCAATCACCGTATAAGGCCCTATAAAACGACTGAGGAATTTTTCACATAAGCCGGGCACATGCACGGGAGTGCACAGAAGAACTTCGTCTCCTGGGGAAAAGGTGATAGCACGGTGTGTTGAGTCGTAGCGAAACTTGCGAGCTTCCTGAGAGATGCCGGCGTTGATTCGGGCCAGATGACGGCAGTGCTCGAGGCGAGACAAAAATTGTGTGGATAAAGAGCTTGCTGAGGTAGCAGGAGCCGAAAGGAAGGAGACGTCCAGAGTTACACTTGGAGAGCGGCCATGGACCAGAAAATAGGAAGAAAAGCCGGTGGTGCGTTGCGTAGCTGTATTGTAGGCGAACGTTACGAATGGCAAAATGGCGTCTCAGTTCGTGTGGTCAGGGTTAACGTACATGGCAATCATGTCCGAGAGGGTACGATGAAAGCGTTCCGTCAAGCCATTTGTTTGAGGATGATAAGTAGAAGTTGTTTTGTGGATGGTGTTGGCGGCACGTAGAACCTCAGCAACAATAGAGGAAAGAAAGACCTTGCCGCGGTCACTGAGCAGAACACGTGGAGCTCCATGGCGTAAAAATATGTTACGCAGAAAAAAATCAGCTACTTCAGTGGCTGTGCCAGCGCGCAGTGAGGCGGTTTCCGCGTAACGAGTGAGGTGGTCAACAGCCGTTACAATCCAACGATTTCCATTGGAGGTCACGGGAAGGGGGTTGTACAAGTCTATCCCGACGACTTCGAATGGCAAAGCGGGACAAGGAAGAGGTTGGAGAAAGCCAAAAAGAGCAGTAGTGGGTCGTTTCCGCCGTTGACATAAGGCACACGAAGAAACATATTTGGCAATCGCGGATGAGAGGCCAGGCCAGGTGAACTGACTGCGTCTTTTGTCGTACGTTTTGTGATAGCCGAGATGCCCAGCAGTAGGATCATCGTGGAATGTCTCAAGAATCTGACGTTGTAGACAACGTGGTATAACGGGGACCCATTTGTTTCCTTCAACGTGGTAAATATAGCGATGTAAAACACCATCGTGAAGCTTGAATTGTTTCAGTTGTCAGCGAAGTCAGGTGTTCGGTGGAGTGAATGATCCTTCTAACCGTGCTATTATGGAGCAGCAGTAAGGGTCAACGCGTTGATGCGACACAAGGGGTAGAAGGGCGGCCGGATCTTGGCCAACTGAGACCTGCGATGGGTATTGCTGCGGTGGAAATTGGTGACGGTGGGCTGTTAAGGTTGGGTAGAGGGCTGCGAGAGAGAGCATCAGCATCTTGGTGCTTCTTACCAGACCTGTAGACGACGTCAAAAATGTGCTCTTGTAAACGAAGCACCCAGCGGCCAAGACGACCCGATAAGTTTTTTAGCGACGAAAGCCAGCACAATGCGTTGTGGTCGGTGACGACTGTGAAGTGGCGGCCGTGGAGGTATGGACGAAATTTTTGTACCGCCCATACAACACTCTTGTAAAAGGCACTCTTGTTTGGTTATTGTATAATTTTTCTCGGCAGCAGTCAAAGCAAGTTTGGCGTAAGCGATGACACGTTCGCGTGCGGTGTTGTCACGCTGCAATAGAACGGCACCGAGACCATTACCACTGGCGTCAGAGTGAAGAATTGTGGATGCACCTGGATCAAAATGACATAGTACCGGGTCGGATGTCAGGGCTTGCTTCAACGCCAAGAAAGCCTTTTCACAGTCTTCAGACCAGACGAATGCCATGTTACTTGCGAGCAGTTCATGAAGCGGAGAGGCAAGCCTTGCGAAATTGCGTATGAAGCGCCGAATGTAGGATGCCAAGCCGAGAAAACTGCGCAGGTCTTTTTGACGCAACGGACGGGGAAACTCGAGGATGGCGGCAAGCTTTTCAGGATCCGGTCGAATACCATCTTCGCTAAGTGCCCTAGAACCTTGATCGTCTTGCTTGCGAAGGTGCATTTTTTCGTAATCACCTGTAAACCAGCTTTTGCAAGGCAACCTAGGACTTGTTCGAGACGTAGTAAATGTAGCGAAAAGGTAGACGAAAACACTATGATGTCGTCTAGGTAGCATAAGCAGGTTTTCCCCTTCAGGCCACGCAGTACGCTGTCGATCATACGTTCGAAGGTAGCAGGCGCGTTACAAAGTCCGAAAGGCATTACGTTAAATTCATATAGCCCATGTGGGGTGGTAAAAGCCGTCTTCTCTTTGTCAGATTCGGACACTGGTATTTGCCAGTAGCCCGATCACAAATCAAGGCTCGAAAAATACTCTACGCCATGCAACGAATCTTGTGCGTCATCAATTCGTGAGAGAGGGTAAACATCTTTGCGTGTTATTTTGTTCAGTGCCCGGTAATCAACACAAAAAAAAAACGTACCGTTCCGTCTTTCTTTTTCACCAACACAACTGGCGAAGACCACGGACTCGAGGAAAGACGTATGATATTTCGCCAAAGCATGTCTGATATGTTTTCCTCGATTATCTTCCTTTCTGCGAGAGACATGCGGTATGGGCGCCAGTGAATTATTATGGAGCCGTCAGTCTGAATTTGGTGAGTCGCAGAAGTTGTCATACCAAGGACAGCGGAATGAACGTCAAACAAAGGGAGATGTCTGTTCAATAAATTCAGCAATTCTTGACTCTGGGCTGCTGTCAAATCAGGGCTTATCGTCGCCGATAGAGGAGTGGGAGAGTTGAGTGGCGGCGTGCTTGGCTCTGGTAGGTCTTCTTGACTTGGAAGGGCAACAATTGCAACGGGAGGCGAGTCAATAGCGCATGTGACTGTTGATCCACAGGACAACAATAAGGGTTCGGGGGTCGGATTTAACGCAGTAATAAAAGCAGATCCTTCAGAAAAACGCACAAGGCCTGGAATGATCAGAATGCCTCGATGTACCGTGTGGCCATAAGGTAGTAGAAGCACGTCGCCATCCACAATGCTGCTGCAATCAACGCTAATTACTTCTTCTCGGGATGGCCAAAGAACAAAATCTGAAGTGGTGACGAGACGAATGCGCTGTTCGGGTTCCGATACAGAAGAGTCGGTGGGATTGAGGTGGATGAGGCGCTGACGACAAGATATAGAAGCGCGTGCAGACGAGAGAAAATCCCACCCCAAAACGAGTTCGTGGGTGCACTCACGGAGAACTGCAACAGCAATATGATGACGAACACCGTCTATGAAAACGCGAACTGTACACTGGGCGAGTGGACGACAAACGGCGTTCGTCGCAGCACGGAGAGCCGGGCCTCAATAAGGTGTTACTTTGCGGAGTCGGGAGCAAAAGTCAGAGCGAATAATGAAAATAGCAGAGCCAGTAGCCACTAGAGCTTCGACACGTATACCTTCGACTAACACTGTTAACAAGTTCGATGGTCTGTCTGAAGGAATTGCTGGCTGTCCAGTGGATGCAGTTTCCTCTCCTAAAACTGCATTGGGGAGTTTTCCGAGTGGGCATTCAGGACACTGGAGGCGGGTCGCAGAGGTGACACGGAACGGCGATTGGGAGACGGTGAGCGGCGGCGAGACTCACGGGAGTTCACAGGCAGACTACTATTGTAAGGTGGAGAGGGCGAACGCTGAAAAGAAGACTGGTAAGGCGTGCGCTGATAGTTCGTGAGTGGACTGAAGCGTCCGCGTTCCTCTGGAGCGTAGCCACATTGCTCGTCCTGTTGACGCCTTCGGCAAAAGCGAGATATATGACCCCTATAGCCGCAATAATAACAGATTGGGCGTTGAGGACGCGGCATGGCGTAATACGGCTGAGGGCGCATCGGTGGTGACCCTGACGCCACAGGTACATGGCCACCTGGTGTAGCCGCTGGGATAGTGGTGGTTGCTGAGAGCGCCGCGACTTCTGCGTACGTTGGTACCTGACGAGGTCTGGATTCAGCGGAACAAGGTGAATGTGACGCAGATGCAATCTCTTGCCTAATTAAGTCCCGCAAGTTGGCTGGAGCTGAGGCTAAAGTAGACGGTGGGGCGCAGGAAGAGCAGCGCCCATGAAGCTCCTCACGGACGATGTCGCGGACCAGGGCACGGATGTCGAGGGCCACAGGAAGACGAATGTCTGAAGCATCATGGCAAAGACGAAGAGACTGAAGTTCTTCTAGTCTCTGGCAAATGGTGACGACTTCTTGAGTCGTCATAGGGTTTCGCGACGCAAGGGCGTTGAATGCGATGGTATTTATGCCTCTGATTATATGGCGTAATTGTTCGCTTTGAGGCATAGCTGAATTTACACGCTTGCACAAGGCAAGAACATCCGCAATGTACGAGGTGTATGATTCACCCGCTAACTGAAGGAGTTCAGCAAGCTTCTTTGTTGCTGTTTCGGCGCGAACACTGGGGGAACCGAAAATCTGACGGAGCTGCCGTGCGAATGTGTCCCAGTCGGGAAGATCTTGGAGGTGGTTCCAAAACCAGGTTTTGGCAACATCAGTTAGGTAGAAAGGGACCGTACGCAACTTGTGTAGAGTATCCCATCTATTCAACTCGCTGACGAGGTCGTAGGTGTGTAGCCATTCTTCAACGTCAT